ATATATAAATCATTTTATTTTCTTAATTACTGTAATTTTCTTTTTAACTTGATAAAAATTTTGATTTTTCAAATTTATTGTTAAATAATTATAATTTATTAAATCATAACTCTAGTTTTTTAGTTTTAAAACATAATTCTAGTTTTTTCTTATATATTATTTTATTTGTATAGTATTTAGACCTCGAAGAGGAATTTGAAAAATGGAAAAGGCAAATGGAAGAAGAAATTTCTCAAAAAGACAAGGAAATTAAAGATTTACACGAGCAAATAAAGTCCTTAGAACGACCTATGATGATTGATATATCTATACAAGTTACAGATGAATTCATTTTTCCGTCTTTGTTAACACGTTCAAATTATGTACCTAATGATTCATTCAATAGTCAACAGGCCAGTGAATCGATTTCAAAGTTAGCTCAATGTACTGATAATATTCACAATTTGCCTGAAGATTTTAAATTTAATAGAATTCTAGAATCTACGACCTCATCAAATGATTTTTCTCCACGATTATCGAAAAATGATATAAATGGTGACAATTGTGATTTACACCAGATATATACCCATTATCATCACAATGCGGAATACTATTTTGTATATGAACAGAATATGTTGAAGTTACAAAATTCAAGAGTTCCGAATTGTCAGTGCATGCGAAATGATGCACAAGTAATATGTATAAATATTAATGTATTGCACAATTTAAGTATGAAGCTTCAGGCACAAGAGCGTAAAAAACAGCAGTTGCAAGAATGTTTTAAGCAACAACAATACCACACTGAACGTGTATTACAACGTAAGTTTTTTACAATTTCTAATTGTTTAAATATTAAATCCCTTTTATTTCAGGTATTATGTCTCAACATCAAACAGAAATATCTCAATTACAATGTCTTCTTCGTAGTACTCAAGAAAGACTTCAAAAAGAATTTCAAACAAATGTAGAGCAGGTACAGTTTTTATAATTTTTTTAAAGATTTGGGATTCTTGTATACAATTTTGAACTACCGTCTCCTTTTATATAATCGTAATATATAATCCTCCTCTTAATATATAATCGTAATAAAATTAATCTTAATAAAATTTATTAGCAAGTAATATTTATCTAGTTACTAACAAACAATATTAGATATACGATATACAATATTAGATAATATAGTATTCGAATATTAACATATTTGAAAAATAAAGGAGATCGATTGTAATATCGTTTGTGTCAATATAAAATTTGTGATTAAATGTTTTTAATTCTTTTTTATCATTCTTTACAGGCTGAACAATTAACACGAAATGATGTATTAGTAGAACACTTATATACTGAAAATGCTTGTTTAACAGCGAATTTAAAACGTTTACAACAACATTATAAAATGCTAACAGGATTAAATGCTGAATTAACTCCAATATGATATTGCAATCAATTATTATTAATATATAAAAGGCAGAGTTTTATTAATAAAATATTAGTAATAATGCTAATATTTTAATTTCGGAGTGTAAGTCAGGGATAGATATTCTATCTCAATTGTTAATTGTGATACATACTATTTTTTTTTTAATTACAATATCAGAACAAGAATAAATCTTTTATGACACTGCTGGTGTTAAATTATAAAGTAGTTAAAAAAGCAGTTATTTTTTTTTTATTTGTAATTATTTTCATTTAGCACTTTGATATATATACAGATATATTAGTATCGATAATGTCGTAATTATTATACATACATATATTTTTTTGGCTTTTATCTTGTGTATATATGGAGAGAGAAAATTATATGGACATACAACATCACAACATCTACAATTTATATAACATAATATAATATCACATAATGTGATAAGCAGAAAATGTTGTTTTGTCTTGAAAACAATGTATTATAAAAGAAGATGTATGAAATTATCAATGATAAAAAAAAATTGAATTAGAAATTTACATTTGTATTTAAAATTAACAGTATTTATTATTAAGCTTGAATTGTTTCTGATCTAAACAGAATTTGAAAAATTAGTATGTTCACTATTAAAACACTTTATAATGTTGATAATTATTGATAGAAATATATAATCTGCCTTATAATTTGTAAGTTACAGTATAATATAAGGATATCTTTTTTAAAAACTTATCAAATTTACATTTTTAGAAGTATCATTTATACAAAATTAAAAGAAACAAATAGCCTAATCATAATAGAAAAGATCCAAAGTAATTAGTATAAAAAATTCATTGTTCTTTATTTGTTATTTATTATTATTATTATCATTATTATTGTTAGATAAATAGATATTTTTCAATAGTTTGCTTAGATTCTTTAGCTTGAATGCCAAAGATAGGGAATTCCGACTTTATTAAGTATAAATAATTGTTAAATATACATACTTATTATTTGTTACGTATAAGTAAATTATTTTCTTGGCAGTTTTCAATTGTTACGATTACATTATAGTAAAATTATTCTGTTTTTTTTCTATGACATGTATCCTTTACACATAGAATGAAGCTTATACGAAACAAATATATATTACACAGTAATGTTATCATTTATAATAAAACAGTTGGGAAGAAAATCAAATCGTAATATTGATTATCTACAAATTATGTATAGATTATAGATTATTTGTTTTATTTGAATTTATTGAATTTATTAGCAAAATTTTTTGGTATAAATTATTTTATTTATATTTTCGAAACTTTCAATGATTAATATTTTTTATTCAGTATTACAAATTCATAGTTCTGTTATGCATAATCAAGATTAATGCTATTATGATCAATATTTTGAGTTCAATTATATATTAATTACAATTCAACGGTCACATAAAAATATATGTTTATTCAAATTACCGTGTATTGAATATTATATTTAATTTTATTTAACATGTAAAATAATAATAATAGGTACTGTGTACATACTATGCATATACGACTTAGTTTGTATAGTAGCTACTCTAATTTAGATTTATGTAATTTCATAATCATATTGCTGCCATCAAAAAACATTTTGTATATGATATTTATATAATGTTTGTATATTACTATGCTGCAGCGAACTGTTTCTTCATATTTGCCTTATAATCTACAACAAGACTCTTACACAATCTTTATTACCGTATTTTCTTCTATATATTATATTCCTCTATTATATTATTGTTAAATTATCTCGTCTTCAAGTATTCTATAGTTTTTCATAATGGAATTGTTAAACGGCAATAATTATGATAATATTGTAAGCAAATTATACGACTTTAATACAATAATTATAAATCTAAGAAGTATAATTTGTTTTATTATTACAAAAATCACATTTCTTATTGTATTTACACTGTATGTTAAAGTGTACAAAATGTATTAATGATTAAAGAGCATAAAGGAGAAAAAAGCTTCAAATCAAATTCAAATTTCTTATGATTATATTATACCTTAATACTATACCTTTATTTATTTATATTATTTACATTTCACTTTTATTACGATTTGAAATATTGTATTTAATAAATAATGATAAAAATTTAATTTTTAATTTTTCGAAATTATTTTACGTACTTCATATGTGCTTCATATGTGAAAAAATTTTTATTTTCTTATTTAGTAAGTTTATTCGGTGATAATCAAATCAAGAGAGCAAATCGCAATTGCAGTGCATCAAATATCACCAGAACTAACATCTCACTGTAGAATAGTCAATGTAATGCTTATATTATTGCACATAGTATCTTAAATAAATGATATAAATATAGATGGTAATGAATGATATATTGTATGATATATATAATTATACATTTACACAATTCGACAAGCGCTGCAGTTTGTCCGACTCGTTTGATAACTCGCATAGAATTGACCCCCACCAATTAACCCCCATCTTTACTTCCGAGTGTTATTTATAGTCTTCAGGTAGCATCCTTATTCCTTCTAGGGATCTCGCAATTTCCAGAAGGTCCGAGGATCCTTTGTATCTGTTTTATGAACGACTTCCAATGTGAATTTTATTGTACTAGCGACTTTCTTTACATGATATTAACGTAAAAAAAATCACTTGCTTTAATTGTTAAAAGAAATTAACTTTTTCTCACTGCACTTATTTTATTATAGATTTGGGAATACGGGATGAGAGACGGATCTCTTCCCCCTTCCCCTCCCCATTTATATTCACGGCAATCAAATCACGCC